GCATCTCGAGCAGGTCCAAGGAGGTGATACTCCCCCTCTAGAGAGCAGATGGACATTGCAAGCAGACAAGGGCGCATATGATGTTGGTCAAGTCTTAGGTAAATGAACCTCAGACGGTGTACTCCTTGTTGTTTGGTCTAGTGATTTATTTGTTCTGTATTCATTTGGGGGCACAGCAGGCACTTGGGTCCATTGCAAGGCCTGGTGGTTTGGTGAGGACAGGAGTTAGTCTGTTGCTTGAGAGATGTTGTTTGAGGTTGGGGGGCCTGTCATTGGGATTTGTCCCCAAAGTCTGCTTCAGAATCGTCATCCTTTTTCAGGCGGGGTTGGAGGCCATTAATGATGTGCCTTAAGAAGTTCAAGCTGGGAGCTGTAGGTGACAACCCAAGGGATTCTGTTGTCTGTGTCCCAGGGCTGGTACTGTACCAGTTTGGAGCAAGGTCCAATTCTGGCTTTGTTGATTTGAGCGGCTACAGTTGGGGGATATAATTGTAATTTTAGGAATCCTTGCTCCAGATTCTTAAGGTGTTCATCTAAGTCAGTGGGATCGGAGCAGATACGGTTGTAATGTGCAGCTTGGCTATAGACGATGGATCTAGTGGTATGCTTAGAGTAAAAGCTGGTAGCATGAAAGTATCTGTGGTGGTCAATTTGGTTTCTGATACAGTGTGGTGGCAATGTGGCTGTTGAAAAAAGCAGCAGAAAGCTGCCCCTTGAGCCCCCAACCTCCCAGCACAGTGGTCCAGGCAGCTTCCCCATCCTACACACTCACAAGGGCACTCCCAGTTTGGGAGTAAGGGCACCACCATACAGGTCTGGTCAAGTGCAGGAATGGGTCTTTATTGAACTCAGTGAGCACTGAGTTGAGTAGTCACCACCATTCCCTGGTGGTGATTCAACAGCACTGCAATGCCTAAAAGGGGAAGGCTCTACTTCAAACTCTTCACAGCTTGGGTGTAGACACCTACCCACTTGACCTGGACAACTGTGAACCAGTTTCCAGTTGGTGACAGTCATGGAACAGTTTACATGTTATGTCTGTCTGCACCCGAGGTATCACGTCTGCCTTTGTTTGTTTGGGGTTTTTTGTTTTTTTCTTTGGTACACACAGTGCCAATAGTACTGTGAGCCTCGCGTGGCACGTTGTAGACGAGCAAGAAACTCTGGAGTGGCAAACAGGAAAGCTATCAAAACGAAGGCGAATCCAACAAAAATGAAGGACTGTACTACTGCTGGAGCGGTTCTGAGTTTGTGTGGGATCCAAGAGGTATATGCACAGGAATGTTTAACTAATATAGCATGGGAGTGAAATCAAGGCCTCATGGAAGTTGGTGGCAAAATTCCCATTGATTTTACTAGGCCCAGATTTCTCCAAGAGTGTTGAAAATGAATCGGTACTAAAACAGCCCAGATTTGCTTTGCTGGCTGGGGCCTTTGGCCAGTGAATGCACAGCTAGAGCCAGCTGTATGAATCTAGGTTTCCGAAGATCTAATACGGTTAGGACAACAACTTGCTAAAGGATACTCCTGGAGCTGGTATTCACATCCTGCTCCATAAATAATTACAAGATTAACAGAAGAATCAGAAGGTTTATTGCCTCATTAAATAAGAAAAAAAATACAACCCTAAGGAAATGAGATCATAGTTTCTCTCTCTCTCGTTTTTATATAGGGAAATTAAATCATAGTAGCTTAGAACATTAAAAAGATGGCTTCCCAGATCTTGGTTTTGCTTACCCAAGTTCACTGTTAGCAGAAATTATGGAGGCATCTGGCGTGACTCCCAGATATTTTTCTCTTGGATCCTGATTCCTGAAATGTATCACCTTATGTTTCAATTGTTTAATTTTTTAAAATCAAGTTTTAGCATTTTTAATTATGGGAATCCGTATGTATGGTGGGTGGGAGTGGGAAGGTGGAGACATACAAAAAGTGTTGAGATGATGTAGGGCTGAGTAGCAGAAAGTCACTAGTAGGTCCAGGACCTCTCATCACAAGAAATGATTTTAAATGAAGTGGATCTTCCCAGCTCTATCACGGGGTCACCATGACTATGAATTTCCCTCTTCGTGTTTGATATGACTCTGAATATCACAGATTCCTGGACTTGGTATTGTGCTGCAAGCTCTTTAATAGACAATACCAGAAAACCAGCAATCCTTTTCTTTTCTTCTTCTTCTACTCATCCGACAGTCTATCAACCAGGTTTAATTCTCTACAGTGGTTCTTTTACCTGTCGTTCTAGAGACATGGGGGACCTCTTCTTCCCAGGTCAGCTTTCCTCTCATGCCTCCCCAAACTTTATGGTTCTCAAAATATATATGTTGTGTAGACACCTGGGAAATTCCCATGGAGCACCAGTGTTTTGGGGACCATTGTGTTAAGAGAACTGGCTTAGTATGCATGCAGTATAGTGCCATAGCAAGACTCAGCTCATCACATGAGGAAGCAGTGGTCCTAGGGAATGAGTTAAACTGATGACTAAGCACAATATTCCATAATACCTAACTAAAAGGGAAAGATTAGAAAGAAATCTCATAGACATCAGAGCAGCCAAGCTAATAAGTCAGAAATACATTCTTAATGCAAACAGTTATGTTCTTTCTCTGTTGCATACGTTTGCTTAACCCATTTCATAGTCTTGTTTTGGAAAGGACAGTTCTCCTAAACATAACCTGAACTTTCTTATAAAATCAAAATCAACTAATAAAAACATACAGAACATGTTCAATGCAGTCCAGAAAGAAAATGTAATGTAATGCTCACCGAAGCTGTACTCTCATGTACTGCATGCCACAATAAACCCTTGCTGCCCAGCACTGTGCAAACACAATGGACAAAAGTTATATGTTCATTAAAGAACATCACCATTACACCCAATAATCTGAGCACTAATCAGCTTCATATGTAGCTACTTACCACAGAACAAATATAGCAGGTTCCACTAATGAGTCAGGTTTTGTGCACAAGTTGGTAAGTCATGTTTTCCCCACCATGTGCCCAACTCTGGCCCAAGCCAGAAGATTGCCCTAGGGCCCTCTGATTTTGGGGGAGGTTTGGATTGGATATGAACACCACAGCATGACCTCTGGCCCTCCTACTGACAGTTGCATCCCACATGTATGGTGTGCATGTATGGGTTCATGCCTCCTGATACAACAGGCTCCACCATCAGTTTGGCAGAAAGACCAGTTTCAAGTCTTGCATTTTGTAAAAATGCCGTGACTTCATTAGAGGCAAAATACCCAAAGAGCACTCCATTACGCTGGTTGCAGCTAATCAATCCTGATCATCAATCTCCCTATCTTCCATGACCCCACACACTCATCTTCAGGGTCGTCTTAGCCTGGTAAACCTTGACAGGTCCCACTGTTCTTTCACCCACTTCTACACCCATTTCATGCCTCCACACCCCTAATCCTGTCTGCACCCGTGCCTCCCTTCTGCCTCCTGGCCCCTTGCCCTTCTGAGACCTGGGAGTGCG